GTGCAGATTAAGGGGCGGTAATATTATAATGAGATCCTTTTGCCACGTCACCAAGGGAGCGAAATCAGACACGCTGGTTTTCTCAGACGCTTGCAGAAAAAGGCTTCCCAAAACAAAGTTACTGAGTTAATCTTTTTCACGTTTCCTTGGTTGGTAGATGCACCGGGGACCTGATTATAGCACTTACAACCTGGAAAAGTCAGATTTTCATGATATGTCACCTTTAAGACCTTTTTAAGACCAAGTAAAGAAAATGGAAGGAATAAATGGAAGGGGCCACAAAGAAATTTAACAAAATGTAGTGAGTTTATGATTACATCAGGAACAAATTTCTGCCAATGCGGTCAGGAAAGATATCTTTTCAAAGGGAAAATAAGATTATTTTTCTGACTCCATTGGCAGATATTTGTTCTTGTTTTAATTATACATTTCTCAGAAAGCAAGATTTCATATCTTCATTTTGCATCTCCAGTAAATGTATCTTGATTTAAGGATGTTTAGATATGTGTACTGGAAAACAAGACAGAAATACTTTTTTACAGTACATGAAAAATTTAATGCCTTGACTTTATGAATTTAAGACTTTCTGCTCTGACTTTTTAAGTCCTTAATTTATAGTGAATTAAAACTTTTTAAGAAACTCTAGAATTAATTGATATTTTAAATAAACTTTTATTTTTATATTTTGAGTTCAATTGAATTGTTTAATTGTAATTAAGTTTTAGTATTTTTTTTTTATTTTTTTTATTCCATTTAAATTTTAATTTAAAAAAAATGTATTTCAGGTTTAGTTTTAGTCATTTTAGAAACTTATATTCATTTGAATTCACTTCTAATTGTAGTTTTTTTTTAGTTACACTTCTTCATCTAATACTTATTTTTTATATGCAAGTTTTTTTAGTTTTATTCTGGTGGTATGTGAATAAGTTTCGCTGGGTTTTGAACTGAAAGACAGCGAGTTAAACTAGTGCATAAATTTCATAAATCATAAACACACACAGATGTCATGTCTGACCTTCAGATTCACTGAGCAGCACAGAGGAGGAAAACACTCAGCAAACAAGTATAAATATACAAAACCACAACAGATGTGAGAGACTGAGCCAGAACACACACACACACACACACACACACACACACACACAGTCACTGTATCACATGCATATATTCTTTCACACACACAGAGTTATTTCAGCTGACCGGATGAACAGACTCACAGTGACTTGAATAAAATGGATGAAGAGAGCAGAAAAAAAGATCAACAGAAAAATGAATGACTGAATGCATGATGGACGGAGAGAAATCTTGAACAGGAAGCTGAGCAGTGATGAATGCATGAATGTGAATGAACAAATGAATGAGCGAGTGAAAGTCTCACCTGAATATGCGGTACGCTGTGGTCAGATCAAACGCTCTCCGATCCACTTCCTTCACATTACCAACATTCATATCGATCGAGGTGATGCCGATTCCCAGACGATAATCCTACACACACACAAGCACAATGGGCACATTCCTATAAATTACTATGTTTATCATATTTTACTAACATTCCTAATCTATAATGTATACACATAAACTCAAATGCAGTTTTAAAATTATGTAATATAACACTGATCAATACAATCAGACAAAAGCAACAGCTTTCATGTTTAACACACACAAACATATGCAAGAAATGCAAATTTATAACAGTCCAATCATGTCAAGCAATTAAAGTCATAATTAAACCCTAATTTATATAATGTTTTTGTATGAAAGACAGTTCATGTAAAAACGATGTGCAGGCATAAATGTGATCATTTCACTCAGCCTGAAATGAATCAATTAATCATTTTATTTGAACTTCGGTTATTATAGTTAACTAAAACTTGAAATGCAATAATTATCAACTTAAAAATGTAATAAAAATATATCTTATTTCAGCCAAGGAAACCATTTCTGTTGCTATAATAACTCATTACTGTGCAACAAAAGTATTTTTAAGCTCAGCTGTTTATGCTGCTGAAGTCTATTTTAAAGTCAGTAGTGCGACTAGAGTTAGTGTTATTTCAAAGAACAGACAGATTGAGGGTTTACCTCGGTGTTTTTGTAGAGGAAGACTTTATCCGCACACACCACCGTGTAGAGTTTGGAGCGCAGGCCGCGCAGCTCCAGGTAACCCTTCATCTCGTAGCTCACGCAGGGGTTAAAGGTCATGTCCAGACTGGTGCGTGCGTGGGACACCCCGACACAGCTCTTCAACACCGTCACCCACTCGCTCCGCTCCACTGACACACACACACACACACACTTCAGTCATTTCATCCTTTGATTCTCATTAATTCAGTGCATGTCCTGCATACTGTATCAAAGCGACTGCGTTTATGTTAACACGTGTAATATGTTTAAGTCCTGTGACTGCACTGTTGAAACTGTCTAGCTGAATGTTTGTTTAACTGTGAATATTACTGTCAGATTTAAGAACATGTATCTAATATGCATAGGGTTGGGTATCGTTTGGGGTTTTTTTCGATACCGGTGCCAAATCGATACTTTTAAAACTGTTCCGGTGCCTAAACGGTGCTTATTAAAAAATGAATAAATAAATAAAAATTCAAAAAAATGATGGATTGGCCATTAGCACTATAAACACATGATGTCTGTTTCACTCATACTGGACAGCAGAGGGCGCCCTCACACAGAAAATCCACATATCCAGTCACAGAAGTAGAGAACTCATGACCCTCGACTTGAGTTCACGTGCATTTTCTCAGTCGGGAAATTATTTTTCACGTGCGGTGCCGGTGATGATGCTTCTTACGTCCGTTTCGGAGAACTAGAGGACAAATATTTCAATCTATCGCTCAGGCATGGCACCGAAATCTGTGTTCTGATTCGGTTCTAGTACATACCGGTTACATAGGTACCGGTGCCATATTGGTACCGGGTTTCGGTACCCAACCCTAAATATGCAGTGATTTTCTAAACTGTCGTGGAGCAGCAGCACTGTCTCCCTCGTCTAACACACCTGATTCAACTCCTCAGCTCATTATAGAGACCTTAAGAGCTGAAGAGGGTCAGAAAAGGTAAAGAGTTATGAGAAACTACGAAGCGTGTCAGATCCGCGTCACGTTCAGCAGCAGCAGCTCTTAAAGCAGCCAAAATAACCTCATAACCAGCTGCTGTGATGCTGTTCATCAAAGAACAAAAGAAAAAAAGAGCAAATCAATAACTGTTGTAGCTTTAAGGATTCATCTGTATTTAATTTAGAATTTAGTGTTTGATAACTGTATATTTAATTTAGGCACAGGTAGCTAAATATGACATTTATTATAATGGGTTTATGTGAAGATTGTTTTAAGTTCACTTAAATAAGTTATTTTAAAGTCTAATAAATATTAAAATTGACAGCTCTCAATTACACTGTAATATTGAATAGCTAGTCAATGGTTAAATATTAGGAAAAAACTATTTCATAGAGACATCAGTAGTATTGGTATCAGTGATACTCACCTTCAGTCATAAAAAAACAAATATTAAAAATATACTGTCTTTATGTTGTTTCTGCATTAATTTGAAGATTGAATGTGAAATTATTGCAATATAAAAGTATATTTAAAAACTTTAATGTTAGGTGGGATTAATCGCGATTAATTCGTTAATTTTTTTAAATCAACTGACAGCACTATTTTACACACACACATACATATATATATATCATTATATATCATATATATATATATATATATATATTCCTTTAAATTACACAAATGTCACAAAAATAAAAATAATTTACAAATTTATAAATATATTTTCATATTGTTTGGAACATTCTTAATGCTTTAAATGACTCTCACACTCACTCACACACACACACACTCACACACACACACACACTCACACAGACTCTCACACTCACTCACACACAAACACACACACACACACACACAGACACACGCTCACACACGCACACACTCACAGACTCTCACACACACACACACACACAGACTCTCACACACACACACACACACACACACACGGACTCTTACACACTCATACACGGACTCTCACACACTCACTGTAGCGTCTGCGTAGGATCATGCATGATTTTCACTCACTATCACACACTCACTCCTGCTCACTCACACACACACACACATGCACACACTCTTGCACACTCTCACACACTCACTATCACACACTCACTCCTGCTCACTCACACACACACACATGCACACACCCTCACACACTCACTATCACACACTCACTCCTGCTCACTCTCACACACACACACACACACAGACTCTCACACACTCACTCACACACACACACAGACTCTCACACACACACACACACACACACGCACATACTCTTGCACACTCTCACACACTCACTATCACACACTCACTCCTGCTCACTCACACACACACACATGCACACACCCTCACACACTCACTATCACACACTCACTCCTGCTCACTCTCACACACACACACACACACAGACTCTCACACACTCACTCACACACACACACACACACACACACGCTCACACTAGGGCTGTCAAAATTTTTTTCGAATTTCGAATATTCGTCGAATTTAAAATAAAAATCCACATTTTAGGTGTGCGTTAAGGAGGCAGCCTTATCAGTGGCGCTCAAGGCTTTTGTTAGCCTATCCAGTTGAAGCCACTAGATGCGGCGCTGCTGCGTTGTTAATTACAAATATTGCGGGAGAAGATAACATCAATGCGGAGAAGATTTTGTTTACATCAAAACTGAAACCAAGCCGTTCACACAGAACGCATATTTCACGCATTTTCTAGACCAGTGATGGGCAAACTTGGCCCTTCCAGGCCACTTTCCTGCAGAGATTTGATCCAACCCTGATAAAACGCACCTGCCTGTAGCCTTCTAGTAGTCTTGAAGACAATGATTAGCTGGTTCAGGTGTGTTTGATTAGGGTTGGAGCTAAACTCTGAAGGAAAGTGGCCTGGAAGGGCCAAGTTTGCCCACCCCTGTTCTAGACGGACTTGCAATTACAAGGCTGTTTCTAGTCAGTTTCTAGGTTGTTCTGGGTGTTTGCAGGCAGTTGTTAGAGTGTTCTCAGCATTGCTGACCGGTTACAAAGTGTTATAGATGGTTATCAGTACACTGACCCAAGAGCCCATTCTTCTTCGGCCTTTATTCACCCCCTGCAGCCGTGTGGAGCACTTTTTATAATGGATGGATGCGCTTTATTGGACTTCTTTTGGACTATTAAAAAATAACACCCATTCACTGCCATTATAAATCGTGGAAGAGCCAGGAAGTTTTTAAATACAACTCCGATTGGATTCGACTGAAAGAAGAAAGTCATATACACCTAGGATGGCTTGAGGGCGAGTAAATCATGGGCTAATTTTCATTTTTGGGTGAACTATCCCTTTAAAGTTACGTTATTAAAGTTACGCCGGTTCCTTCTTCCCCGAGTCTTGAACTTTGTTACATTTACATTTTCCTTAAATCATCCTGACGACCCGAGGGTTTGAAAACCACTGCTCTAGAAAGCCCCGCCCCCTGAATCCTAGGCTGTCAATCATGTTCACAGATAAGATGCAAACTAAAGCCTATTGGCTATTTAAAAAAAGTGGAACAAGGTCTTTGAAATGTCAACTTCTTGTTTCAACGAAGCATGCAAGTAACCGGCACCTGTCACAAACACACATCATGCTTTTGTGCCTGGTATTATGGTTATGGTGGTTTAATGTGAGTTTAGTCACGCTAGAGTAACTGCTGATGAGGTTGAAGTCATAACACGCTTTCTTTAGCACGCAGAGCAAACGGTCTACTCACTGTTTCTGAGCGGCGGCGGCGGTGGGACGTCTCTCTTTGAGCTCTCGTTCGGAGGTCTGATCATTCGAAGCGGGACGTCTGGGACTCGATCCGTGCTGGGTGGATCATCTGCAGGAGAGCTGGAGGAGCAGACAGAGGAAGCTTCATCATTACTCGGCTCACAGGACAGTCTGCTGAAGGGAGCGTCAGTCAGAGGATTCAACGCTAGCGGCAGACAGAGAGGAGCTTCATTCTGACGCTGAGAGAGAGATCAGGTTCGTGTCGCTCACTGTACGTCTGTGAGTTCAGAAGCACCTGACGCAACAGGTTCCATAAGAGCTGATAGTGATCGACTAACACACCTGTACTGAGTCACTGCTTAACTTAAGTCAACATAAAATTGTAATGGACTTGACTTCATGTTTCTGCTCTTATTGCACATGATCTCTTTTCAAACAATTCTATGTGTATATTACATCATATCCATTCATCCATGTTAGCATGATAACTATAGGATTAACAAGAACAACAAAGTGTAAGCTGCTTAAGGAAATCATTATTAAATACAAGTTGTGCAATGCTTAATCAATCATTATTTTCATTATTTTACTATTGGTCAAAAGTTTAGTAAAAGAGAAACAACAAATAAGATGTTTTAATATTGTTGAAAGAAGTCTCTTCTGCTCACCAAGGCTGCATGTATTTTATCAAAAATACCTTTATTGGACTTCTTTTGGACTATTAAAAAATAACACCCATTCACTGCCATTATAAATCGTGGAAGAGCGAGGAAGTTTTTAAATACAACTCCGATTGGATTCGACTGAAAGAAGAAAGTCATATACACCTAGGATGGCTTGAGGGCGAGTAAATCATGGGCTAATTTTCATTTTTGGGTGAACTATCCCTTTAAAGTTACGTTATTAAAGTTACGCCGGTTCCTTCTTCCCCGAGTCTTGAACTTTGTTACATTTACATTTTCCTTAAATCATCCTGACGACCCGAGGGTTTGAAAACCACTGCTCTAGAAAGCCCCGCCCCCTGAATCCTAGGCTGTCAATCATGTTCACAGATAAGATGCAAACTAAAGCCTATTGGCTATTTAAAAAAAGTGGAACAAGGTCTTTGAAATGTCAACTTCTTGTTTCAACGAAGCATGCAAGTAACCGGCACCTGTCACAAACACACATCATGCTTTTGTGCCTGGTATTATGGTTATGGTGGTTTAATGTGAGTTTAGTCACGCTAGAGTAACTGCTGATGAGGTTGAAGTCATAACACGCTTTCTTTAGCACGCAGAGCAAACGGTCTACTCACTGTTTCTGAGCGGCGGCGGCGGTGGGACGTCTCTCTTTGAGCTCTCGTTCGGAGGTCTGATCATTCGAAGCGGGACGTCTGGGACTCGATCCGTGCTGGGTGGATCATCTGCAGGAGAGCTGGAGGAGCAGACAGAGGAAGCTTCATCATTACTCGGCTCACAGGACAGTCTGCTGAAGGGAGCGTCAGTCAGAGGATTCAACGCTAGCGGCAGACAGAGAGGAGCTTCATTCTGACGCTGAGAGAGAGATCAGGTTCGTGTCGCTCACTGTACGTCTGTGAGTTCAGAAGCACCTGACGCAACAGGTTCCATAAGAGCTGATAGTGATCGACTAACACACCTGTACTGAGTCACTGCTTAACTTAAGTCAACATAAAATTGTAATGGACTTGACTTCATGTTTCTGCTCTTATTGCACATGATCTCTTTTCAAACAATTCTATGTGTATATTACATCATATCCATTCATCCATGTTAGCATGATAACTATAGGATTAACAAGAACAACAAAGTGTAAGCTGCTTAAGGAAATCATTATTAAATACAAGTTGTGCAATGCTTAATCAATCATTATTTTCATTATTTTACTATTGGTCAAAAGTTTAGAAAAAGAGAAACAACAAATAAGATGTTTTAATATTGTTGAAAGAAGTCTCTTCTGCTCACCAAGGCTGCATGTATTTTATCAAAAATACAGAAAAATAGTATAATATTATTAGAATTTAAAATAACTGTTTTCTGTGTGAATATCCGTTAAACTGTAATTTATTTCTGTGATCAAAGCTGTATTTTCAGCATCATTACTCCAGTCTTCAGTGTCACATGATCTTCAGAAATCATTCTAATATGCTGATTTGCTGCTCGAGAAACATTTCTGATTATTATCAATGTTGAAAACAGTTATGCTGCACAATATTTTTGTGGAAACTGTGATACATTTTATTTTTCAGGATTCACAGATGAATAGAAAGTTCAGAAGAACAGCATTTATTTGAAATAGAAACCTTTTGTCACATTATAAATGTCTTTACTGTCACTTTTGATCAGTTTAATGTGTCCTCATTTCTTTCTTTTTTTTTTTCTTTTTTTTTTAAATCTTACTAACCCCAAATTTTGGAATGGTAACGTACCACAACTTCAACAAAAATATGTGACACTGAAGTAGAGGTCTGCATTCCCGCACCTGACCAGATTTTTTGCGCCGCGGGATTATATTCCTGAATAAAACGCGGTAGCGGTCGATTACAGTTTAACAGAGATTCACATAGAAAACAGCTGTTTTAGATTAGAATAATATTTCACATTTTTTATTGTATTTTTGATCAAATAAATCCAGCCTTAGTGAGCAGAAGAGACTTCTTTCAAAAACATTAAAATTTTTGGCCAGTAGTATATTTTGTCTGATAAACGTGTTCTAAATTCTAAACACAGCAGACAGTAAATGAGCTTTAAGTCTTACAGCAGTAAAAGAGATTCTGCAGTGTTTTCTCACACAACAAACACTGTAATGTGAAGAAAGGGTGAATTGGGCCACGTTTCGACTGCTGTCTGACATTCACCCGACATTTAGAGAGAACACAGGAATTCACAGGTTTATGTCAGCACTTGAACAGCGTTTGTTGAACATTTATCAGACTAGAAACACATTTCCTGATGTGTGTTAAAGATCAGGCCCATATGGACGGTCAAACAATAGTGCTTCCTGTGACCAGCGGAACAACTGACCATCAGTTTTAAAAACCAAATGTCTGCTAAATACTGACTTATGAATGAAGCCTTCACTAGCGCTTCAGCTCTGTAACGTCAACCCTCTACACACACACACACACATATACACACACACACACACACACATATACACACACACACACACACACATATACACACACACACACATATACATACACACACACACACACACACACACACACATATACACAC